AACTTGAGAAGTGTGAAAGTAATTTTCTATACTTGATGACAAATCTGTGCCTCGACTCGGAATTGAATTTATCATTTAAAAAAATATCTTGTTTGTAAAAAGTTAATCAACATGTCTTAAATATAAATATTTGAATATCTGTGCCTTCTCATCGCATTTGAACAGTTTTTTGCTGGTAATCATTTTAGCTTTTACAGTTATGATTAAAAATAAAGAGTGGAGAGAAGGCTGCAAGTATGAGGACAATCTTTTAAACTATCCAAGGAAAATGTCGACCTGAGTGGAGGCACTTGGTACGGCAGAAACTGGATGCTTTGAAGAGCAGCGCAAAACGGACTTTGATCTGAAGTGTGATGCCCTAAAGGTTAGACCACTAACGGACATATTCTATAATTTTATCAATGGTGTATGCATATGTTCACCGAGGGCACATGATAGGGCTAATCATCCTAGCCCAATAACAAACAGACAGCAGTCACCGTAGTCGAAATCGGCAAGGGAGATACAGTGTAGCTGTACCCTGAGGAAAAGACGCGAAAATAGATAAAAACCATCCTTGAAGTGGTTTGTCTATCGAGTCTAAATTTGAGCTCAATCGATGCAGAACTTTTTGAGTTTTTGTGGCGTATACAAACCAACTTAACATTTAATATATATTTAGATGAGGACAAATTTTTGGATTCCTTGATTTAATAAAAATCTGACTTGACATAGGTTTACCCGTGACCACGACCGTTGCAATTTGGACTAAAATTAGAATTTGATAATGAACAAAAACATGTTTTAAAAAGTTCGTTTTGTGGATTAACCCGCTAATATGCGGCAACAAGCACATTCTCCACAAATTCCAACAACTCAACAAAAAGATTATACGCTGTTAAAATCACGCTTCCATCCTTAGGGGCGGAGGAATAAACATAGGCACTGGTACTATCTTATGGCGGTATAATCTGTATAACTGGTACAGGTAATCTATTCTGTGATGCAGATAAAGTTACGGTGTTCGGCCAGTTCATAATAAAACCCTATATTGCCGCATTTTATAATAAGATCTAGGCGAACTATTTTGCTCCGGGTCAGACGGTCAGGTCAATCGATATCGGGATCTGCGCGAATGTAGGTTTATTTCTAGAAAATAATTAGCAGTTTTAATAGAAATTGGGGCATAGAGAGATTTTAAACTATACTTCTATCTTAATTCGGGAATGATCTGTAGGTAAGGTGATGGAAGGAGGTTTAGCATCTCAAAGCATGCAACTAACAACTCAAAGTCTCATGGTAGCTATGAGCTGGCCATGTTAGCCGCCGAACCGACAACTGTTGGGGAAATGGAGTTCTTAAGTGGAGACTGCGTCTCGGCAAACGTAGTGTAGAACGCCCACATGCCAGGTGGAGTGACGATTTGCCCAAGATGGCTGGCAGGAGCTGGATGCGTGAAGCCCAAAATTGATCTAAGTGGCGTGCAATGGGAGATGCCTATGTCCAGCAGTGGACTGCGAGAGGCTAATGATGGTGATAGACTAATCTATGGTAGGGCAGAATTACATTTCTAGTAAGGTAGGATAATTTTCTAACCTGAACATGATCTTTTATAATATGTTGATAAAAAAATAAAACCAATTAAAAATCACCTCTTGCTTCCAATTGCCATCAGATCAGACTATCGTTACCAAACACAAACCAATTAGAACGAATACTTGTGTACTACGTAAACTATGTTGTTCTGAAGTATTTCGCTCTTTCCCCTCCTCCTCCTCCTATTCATTATCAGATCAGCTTTAAGATACCAAGGAATTGTATTGTCGTGTAAACTTCAAACAATTTAAATTACCTACAAAGTTTCGTTTTAATACGTGAATTAGAGGTAGGTCAAAATTGAATTCCAAGATTTGTTTATTGGCTATAAAGTCCTCTCTTTTAAATTCTGACTATACAATAATAATAATAATCTACCACAATCACACAACGCCATCTACTCCCAAACTAAGCAGAGCTTGAACTATGGGTACTAGACAACTGATATAAATACATATATAATTTTTGTTTTGTAAATACATACATATTATACGTAAGAAACACCCAGACCAAATCAAACATTAAAAGTTCATGCACACAAATGTTTGACTTGAGCGGGATTCGAACCCTCGACCTTTGGAATAGAAGTCCGTTACACAAACCACTACGCCATCCTAACAAATGTACATATCATTAATTAACAATAATTAATAAATATACGGAAATAATTTCTCTACTCCTGTCTGAAATTAATAAAAACGTGTATTATTAATATCCAAAAAATCAATAAAGACGTACCTTCGCTAATAAATAAAATATGATAAATACATCAATAAATTATCAACCTATCGCTGGCAACATTGCCTTAACGTAGTGTGGGTGTCGCGAAATGGCCACTAAATAACACCGACGTTTATACCGTATAACTCTAATTGTAAATCCGTATGTCAATTAAAACAAACGGAACAGATTGACATTGCGTGCGTCTAGTAATTTAGATACGCTATTTGGTCGCTCGTGCCAATTCTGAGAAACCGCACTGTAACAGATGATTGTCCGAAACAATGTGTTTGCAAAAACTAATGGCGTTGTTCTACTTATTTGTTTCAAAATGTTGACCGTTTGTTTTAATAATAGTACCATAAATAAGCCTTTTTTTTTCTTGTTGACGGGGTGGAGCAAGGAGTATGTGGTGTTTCCACTAAAAACCACCCCGACGGCCAGCCTTAGGCGCCGTGCTCTGGGGAGAACCCGGGCCATGTGATTACAGGTCGACGCCGGACCAAACTAGACCCTATCTCAGGAAAAGCCAGTGGCTTCTCCCTGCCTATCAGCCTATCCAACAACTGGGGAGATCAGTCGATGTTACGTAACGTGTATGAACACGGCTATCGGATCATAAACCTGGCAAAACCTGAACTATAGTAACCATGCTGCTGATACTGATACAAGCCTACTTATATTTTACTAAATGCATACATATGTATATTATTACATACATGTATTAAACACAAAAAAAACGTATTCATCTCGTTCTTGAGAACTTTAATTTATGGAGTGTAATAAAGATAAAAAAGATGAAAACAATAACAATTGTTTGTCACGGCGCATCTTTGGAACAGCAGTTTATACTACTGACAAACACAAACATACACACATTCACGTTTTTATCCCAGAAGGCGACAGAGACAGGCGTATTTATAAAAAGCGTACATTTTGCTGACTAAAAGGTTTAGTCCCACTTTTTACCATACCTATTGCTGTCAACAAGGCGCATTTTTTCTTAATTTATTATTTTATTTATTATAATTATTTGACAAAACAGAGATTGTTGCTTTTGTGTGTGTTGATCTATGACTTTAGAGTCTACATAAAAGACGATTTCAAACAAATTTTATGAAATAAAGAGAGTTTGAGTTTGAATAAATATACTTATATATTTCTTCTTGTCCAAGGAGGAAATTGAACCCACTACCACAAGCTTAACAGTCAGGATTATTAGACTAAAATAGGCCCCCCAAAAATCTCAAAAATACTAAACTTCAATTCTCCAAACTGAATTACACGATAACAAATATTAACAGTCTCGAAGAAGTTCTAAAACTACGATAACGAAATGATTCAGTAGTAATGTGTTAGGAGTTTTATTATAGAAACCAAATGGTATTGGCTACACAGACACAAACACACAGAACACACTATACAATTTAAACACAAAGTATTGAAATTAAAAACGTGAACATTGTAATATTTAAAAAATATTCGCTAATTTCTACAAATGTGGACGAACACAATTTAATGATTCTAACAGATATACCTACGAGAGAAAAGATATCACATCTACGAGTGTTAGTGATAGATCCGCGACCAATAGTTACATCAGCGCAGTATGTAAAAGTTTCTGATAGTATTTCTGCGCTTTCCTCAGCTGATAAACTACTGCGACTGAAGTCTTTGGTATGAGTTGCAAAGAGTGAACCAAACAAAGCCCAGTTCGCACCTTTAGTTTTATATCTAAAATTATAGGGAGCCCTTTGTGGATCCTGTGCAACCCCTGGTATGAATTCGTACACGATCAAGCGGTGATCACTACAGGATGCGTCCGGAAGGACACGCCATCCGGATATTAAGAGAAAAGATATATTTAAGATTTATTATAAACCCTAGTTTTGTTTGTTTACCAATGCAGAATTTAATTTTCGTTTTTGATATTGAATTCAACTGTATACCAAGAGTTAGAAAAATTAATTTCAGTTTTTCGCACTTTTCTAATTAAGTTTTAATAAAAGTGTCATCGACTTCAGTGTCAGGTGCGTTCCGTGATAAATTGGGATAGGATGTTTTTTTCATCCTTTAATTTTCCTCCCTTACAGGTTGAATATTTTCTTTCAATATAAGTGAGATTGGTCTGAGTACAACCAACTCAATAAAAACAGGGTTTAAACACCAAATAAAGTCAATTTAACTAAGTCATTTTAATCAGCTAGTCAGTTTTTTATGAGTGATTGGAATAGGTGTTCGTGTTTCATTTTAGAAAAACCGATCAAAAGAAAGATGGCACATAACTATACAAAATAAATTTATTAGAAACTGGCCCGTTGGTCTATTAATTAGTGACCATGACTGCTAAGCATAAGACCCAGGACAAATATTGTGTCATAAGCATAATCATTTGTTCTGTATCTGGGTGCAATTTATCTATAACTAGCCTTTGCCGGCGGCTCCGCCTGCGTTTATGTCGCTTAACGCGGTAAAAAGTCTATGGCACTGAGGGATAATATACTTTTCTAACAGGGAAAGAATTTTTTAAATCGGATCGGAAGTACCGGTGATTACCGAGAACATACAAACTCACAACCTGTACCTCTTTATAATACATATTAGTATCGATATATAGGTATATATTTAGTAATAAATGTACCTGGTCTACGCCAACAGGCTTACCCCCCTACAAAATAAGTAGAACTGGAGTTATATTCAGCAAAATGTGGGTGGTTAACACGTTCCCCCACCCTCCACCCGCCATGGTTATACGTCTACCCCTTCGGGACAAAAGACATGGGTGTATGCATGTATGATAAGATGAAAATACCAGCGGTATTACCACAAGTGATAACACAGAAATTAGATAGTAAACATCATCAGTTTACCATCAGAAGAGGATTTTGGTTATAAAAATAAATGAAACCTATGTCATTATATCTTCACAAGACATTTAATCTACCAACTTATTTATGTAATATATTCTAAGACTATTTAAAACCTCTTTTAGTATTCAAGTTCAAGTCTCAGAAGCCATGAGACTGAACAACTTTAAAAGCTTTTGTAGGAGCCAATTTTTTTTTTCTATATTTGAAAAACGATCTATAAGAACTGTATTTTTGAATATAATCGATTAAATACCTAAGAGAGAGAAGGAAAAGGAAAACTTGACACAAACCCTATACCAACCCGTCTGGCCAGCGTGGTATAGTAGGCCAAAACATCCTTTCTAAGGAGAGGCTTATGTCCAACAGTGGACTATTAAAGACTGTTGATGTGAAATACCTGATTCATCCAGTAAATTTTTACGTAAAAATAAAGAGAAGACAAAGAGAAGAAATATATTCAACTTCTCTTCTTAATACCTGGTTTAATCTGATGATATCAACCCTTGTCAATACCAAAGGCTAATAAATAAGGGCGTATATTTTATAATCCGTAATCTTATAAAATCTAATTTATATAGTGTAGCTACTGAAAATTTAATTTAGAACATCTTAATAACAATTAGTATAGTTTTAGTGCTTAGTCAATAGATATCGTTGTTACCTGTGGGTGTGTACGGTGGGGATGGCGCGGTGGCTCGCGGGGCTCCGGCGCGCGCGCCGCGCTCATGCCTCAGCGCCGCCGGCGCATGCCCCCCACGGCACCGCCGCCGCTCTGCGCACACGCAACAGATCGTACTTTAGGATAACATTATCTTTGATTAGTTCGCATTAAAGTTATCAAAATAAGCAAGTTTATTAAATTATGCATAAATGAGTCTGTTTGGGTCTACCTATATTTTAGCAAGTATAAACGTAAACCAGCCTATGTATTATTTTCACGAAGAAGAATTACTTTTTTTTCTAATCTAATTTAGGGGATAATGGGTTACAGCGAAGTGAACCGGAGTGGAGACTTTGTAATGGAGCACTTTGGAGTGCGGATCAGTTATGGTCAATCTCTATAAAAGACTTTTCCCTGAAAAGAAGAGAGCAATCCCTATATATCTTTCTCTATTTAAATATAAAGATAACGAATCAGATGCGCGCGAGTCAAGCGTCTCAGGGCGAAACACACCCCCACCGAATCGACGTGTCTTCTTCGCACCACACCGTCCCGCGCGATGCCTTCTGCTTAAGGGTGCGTTTCCACTGACACGGAGTGGAGCGGAGAGGAGCAGGGAAACTGGTGAGTGTTTCCATTGAAGCGGAGCGCAAGAGCAAAAGAGCGCTTTTACATCGTTCTTTTCTAGAAGATGAAGATTTGGAAGCAGATGAAATAGAACTGATTGCCACATATTATTTGGATACCAAAAGAAAATATAGTCCAGCTACCCTCCGCTCGACACTACAGCCTGCTTGACTCCGTTCTATCCAGCTTGGGGACGCGTGTTCTTGAATTGAATTGAAAGTAAAATCAGCTCCGAGCCACTCCACTTGCACTGTTTCCACTAAAGCAGTGTGAAGATTTAGAGCACCGTGATTGGCCAATTCTTAGTCCGCTTTTCTCCACTTCGCCCAGTTCCGCGTCAGTGTAAACACACCCTAACACTCGACTCCGTTCAATTCCGCTCGGACTGCATGCTCACGTAGTTTATACGAATTTCCGATCGGCTTCCCCTCGCACTGTTTCTGTTAAAAAGGAGTGGAGATTTCCAGAATCGTGATTACTCTATTTATGCACCGTTTAGCTCCTTTCCGCTCCACTCCGCATCAGTAGAAGCCTATACGTTACTTTACAGAACTAGGGAACCCTAAAAACGATCAAATATGATAATTATCTTTATTTGAACACAGACTATTATACAATAACAAGTACGTAGATCGTGCAGAAGCCTTAAACCAGTTATTTCAATAAAGCCGAGCCATAAATTGTTTGGAAAATAATAGTTTTAATTACATACACGTACTGGCGAAAAAACTCTATGTCCGTGGGTTTTAGTAATTATAAATTACATGTATAAATTATTTTGTACAGATTAATTAAAATGTAATTGTGAAGTATAGATAGATTTTTTAGTATGGCAACAAATATTTGGTATGATATGTTACTATGGTAAAACAGCAATTGAAAATGTGTGTTAAAAATACTTGTCTATGGTAACTGTATAGGAACTGTAGAATCGTCTCAGCCTATGCTTGTCCACTGCTGGACATAGGCCTCTCCCAATGATTTCCAGCGGGGACGGTTGATTGCGGCCTGCATCCAACGGTTTCCGGCAACCTTTACCAGGTCGTCCGTCCATCGGGTAGGCGGTCGTCCCACACTGCGCTTTCCAGTACGTGGTCTCCATTGGAGAACCTTGCTGCCCCATCGGCCGTCAGTTCTCCTTGCTATGTGCCCTGCCCATTGCCACTTGAGCGCGCTAATCCGTTGGGCTATGTCGACCACCTTTGTTCTCCTGCGGATCTCCTCGTTGCGGATTCGATCACGCAGGGAAACGCCAAGCATAGCCCTTTCCATAGCACGCTGAGCGACTCTGAGCTGTAGAATACATTGTTGTATTGTATTGTTGGTGTGTCACCACCTTTGTTCATCCTGTTGGTGTCGTAAGAGTCGACTAAGGAAGCAATCTATGCAGGACAACAGCAGTGCAAAGAGAAGGAAAACTTGAAACAAAATCTATACCAACCTATCTGGCCAAGATAGTAGGCGAAAAGCTTCTTTCTGAGGAGAGGCCTATATCTAGCAGTGAACTATTAAAGTCAGCTATTGATTATAATGGTGGACGCCGAACGTGAACTGCTAGCTGTCTGGCTATGCAGAAGCAAGAAGTAGGTGGGCTTTACACTAAAAACTACCTTAACAGTCCCTAGATCCCCAGATGAGTCTGGGGATCTGGGGACTCATCGTGTTTTCATGGCCTGCGGCCCCGTCGGCGGTTGATATCGCCGCGGATGTCCTCTACGCTCGGGATCGGCCCTCTTCCGATCCTGTTGAGCGGTCTCTTTCTCGAACATTACAGCTTCACAGAAAGAGACCACTGCGCCCCAGCCCTCCTCACCGGCCATCATGGCAGTAATGATTGCTGGCGGGGACAGGGAGACTACTAGGCCTAATATAGCTTGTTTGCCACCACGGGACTCAGTATAATTGCACATCTGCTATTTCTAATCAAATTAAATAGTGGGCACTTCTTTGACTTCCAGTTACACCTTTTTTTTATAAGACCACTCACGGACTATGAATATATTCTGTATCGCGGGAGACTTTTTTTGTATTCTGCATGACATATTGTAAAATCTATCAAATTTTTTTTTTTTTTTTGAATATTATGTTATTTATATTTTTGTTTTAATTTTTAAATATTTTTGTATTACGGCGAATTGTTATACATTCAAACACAATTATATTATTGTTTGTGAATAAATGAACTATGAACTATGAACTTCACAAACATCCATCGAAAGGGCACAAAGAACACCCAGAGTCAGAACATCAATAACTTGTGGATCTCACAATATATTGTTGGATCGAACCTACCACACTCAGTAGGAAGCAGAGAGGTGACCGCTTAAACCACTACGCCGTCTATGCAGTCGTCCCATTTCATGACATTGCTCGTACAGATTGCAGGAAAATGAAAGATGTTACGATGACCTAAATAATTGTTTAATTAGTCACTTTACCGAGTATTAATAGTTATAGTAGTACAAAATATATCGAACAAACTGTTACTGGACAAAAACATTGAAATGCATTTGTATTGACTAAATGGAACCTCATAATCTTTACTATTCTCGTACAAAATAATAAATGGCCGTTCGACGCAACAGCCATAACTCTACGCCCCATAAAGTACCTCAGTTACATGAAACAAGAAGCAATCACCACGCTACATTAATCACACGGACCTTACATAACTAAAACAAAATAAAAGAAAAAGAAAATTTAATTTACTATATAAAAATCAATAATTTAAATATAAAACTCGTATTAGTCAATTCTTAAGATCTTAAAACGCATAAATTTAAATAGATGTCTATTAAATACCCAGGTACCGCACAGATATGGCGGTATACTTTCACGGCTGCGCAGGCGCACCCACAATGTTGCTAACTTTAATAAAAGAAAGCACACACTAGAAGCATGGTTCAAGTAATTTATTGAACGTAATTCATATTCGTTTGAGGTGGGGACTACTGTTTTCGATCGTAGACGACATTTTTATATTTTTGATATTAATATTCAGATATTAAAATGATTATAATTCATGAAAAAAATGTCGAATGACTGATATACAGTCATTCGACATTTTTTTTAACTGTACCTTTTAAGTAATATAATATTATTATCAAAAATATTTACCCATTAAGCACTGAGTAGCACACAGGAAGAAAGTAAATTGGAGTAAGGGAAACGAATACAGAGAGGGAGAGGCGGTGGGGAGGGGGGTTAGGTCATGGTTATTGCAGTAGCTCGCAAAGGCTGGGGCGGCGTACCTGTAGGTCCTTCCTGTGATTAGAAGACAGGAACTGGCCTGTTTTTTAGAAGAAAAGTTGTTGAAAAATAAGTTACTTCTGATAGGTATGCAACAAAAGAGGTTTTTCAGAGATTTACTTTGGTTCTTCTTCAAATTTCACGAATATTATTATAAATCATTTATCACTAGTGTATGTCTGCAACCAATTATGATCCTAGGTCCTTAAAATACATTTGTGTTGTTAACATTTTTCCTCTCTCTCTTTCCTGCAATATGTTGAACCGATTTCGCGAAAAGGGACGGAAATGTGTAACAGGAAGCTACGGAAGCGTGAGGTATTTGATTTAATCAATGAGCGCGCCATGCCAGAGTTGGCTGTCAGATGGTAGGTGTTATGTCAGATGTCATACACGACTTTTGTAAGCGCGCTTTAAAACCTTAAAAAGAAATACAATCCAACTTCTTACTCAAAATAACTCTTACTTTCTTACTTAAAAATAAAAAAAATCCCAAAAATAAACAAAAATGAAGTACCAAAAACAAGTCCTTTGACCCTATTCTAGCCTTCATACCGAGAGTACCATCAGCTAATACCAACAAGACAGGGGACAAAGGTCATCATAGATATGTTTTACACAACTTTTATACATATACATAGATATACACATGCATATGTATATGTCTATCGAAAGTTGTTTTCTAGCCGGTAGGTTGTCGCATAGGGTCAACTCACGTATTTGTGTTCGTGTGATTAATTCTATACGATTATAATTGTAAGGTCTAATGTGAGGGCCCTGGCCCTGAGAGAAAAAGTATCTATGGACAATTTGGAAAGGTGTTTACAACTTATTTTCTAAAATTGGCATAAATAGCTTTTCTAAAACATATTATTATATAGAAAATGGATAAAATAAATATCTTTTATATAAAATTCTCGTGTCACAGTGTATGTTCCCGTACTCCTCCGAAACGGCTTGACCGATTCTCATGAAATTTTGTGTGCACATCGGGTAGGTCTGAGAATCGGCCAACATCTATTTTTCATACCCCTAAATGGTAAGGGTGACCCATCCCTATTTTTTTTTTGTTTTGCAATACAATGTTTGCCGGGTCAGCTAGTATTTAAATAAGTTTCATGCAAAAACACATCTGCTCTGCCAAAGTTTCTGCATTTAGAAGTTATGGTGACTTAAACAGAAACCCTCAAAAGTATATTCCTTTTAGAGAAATCATTTCAATAAATACACAGTCTCTTGTTATCTCTGACGTCTAAATAAAATGAAATC